TTATTACCAAGTTTCCTTCTTCGGTTAATTCAGTTTCCAAGGAAAGTTCCTCACTTGATATAAGTTTAAACAATAAAAGCAATAGTGAACAAGTTTGCTAATTTGTCGTCGATAAACAACGTGGACATGAACGTGGGATTTAATTAATACATTCCTATGAGCTAGCGGCAAACAAAGCTTTAGTGGAAGTTATGCTTTCAGTGAGATGTTGAGTGAATTGTTTTCCTAATTCTGGAGCGCGGTGCCGCCACTCAAAGGCCGAAGAAATTTATGAGTAACAGGTATTTATGGGCGGTATAGTCGCTTGGTCTCGGGTGACCCGTCTGTTCATGTGACCCCAATACTTTTATGTGTCCATGCAACTTTTTTCAATTTCTCAATACACCTCAGACGCCTCGTTCAGAGTATGCTCAAGCAATGCTGCACGCAGCTCTTTCGGTGACCCGTCTGCTCGTGTGACTCCAATACTATGAAAGAAACTAATATTAGGGTCGCACTATGCTTTTGATTTAGGTCGTCCGCGCTTTCGCTCGCGTGTTTGTCAATTTCTGATCCCTCAGGAACACTTAATAATCCTCGGTCAGTTCTGTACCCTTGACTACGCGTAATTTCATTGTGATCTGTTTAATAGTTAAGTTGTGAAGTCGTAACAAACAAACAAACTCAATTCCGCATTTATACTATAATAATAGCATTCGCACGCGGCTTCTCACCAAATGTCACCATATTCTGCCCAGTCGTTCTGACGTGATAAAATAACAAACATCCATCCATCTAAACTTTCACATTTACAATATTGATATAGATTAATAAGAATTGATGTTTTGTATATTCATTAAATTATCTGTTCCATAGAAAACAGAGTATGTTTTCAACAAGACTCACCGTATGTTTAGTGCATTAAATTATCTGTTCCATAGCAAACAGAGTATGTTTTCAACAAGACTCACCGTATGTTTCGTGCATTAAATTATCTGTTCCATAGAAAACAGAGTATGTTTTCAACAAGACTCACCGTATGTTTAGTGCATTAAATTATCTGTTCCATAGCAAACAGAGTATGTTTTCAACAAGACTCACCGTATGTTTCGTGCATTAAATTATCTGTTCCATAGAAAACAGAGTATGTTTTCAACAAGACTCACCGTATGTTTAGTGCATTAAATTATCTGTTCCATAGCAAACAGAGTATGTTTTCAACAAGACTCACCGTATGTTAAGTGCATTAAATTATCTGTTCCATAGAAAACAGAGTATGTTTTCAACAAGACTCACCGTATGTTTAGTGCATTAAATTATCTGTTCCATAGCAAACAGAGTATGTTTTCAACAAGACTCACCGTATGTTAAGTGCATTAAATTATCTGTTCCATAGAAAACAGAGTATGTTTTCAACAAGACTCACCGTATGTTTAGTGCATTAAATTATCTGTTCCATAGCAAACAGAGTATGTTTTCAACAAGACTCACCGTATGTTAAGTGCGTTAAATTATCGGTTCCATAGAAAACAGAGTATGTTTTCAACAAGACTCACCGTATGTTTAGTGCATTAAATTATCTGTTCCATAGCAAACAGAGTATGTTTTCAACAAGACTCACCGTATGTTTAGTGCATTAAATTAACTGTTCCATAGCAAACAGAGTATGTTTTCAACAAGACTCACCGTATGTTTAGTGCTTTAAATTATCTGTTCCATAGCAAACAGAGTATGTTTTCAACAAGACTCACCGTATGTTTAGTGCATTAAATTATCTGTTCCATAGCAAACAGAGTATGTTTTCAACAAGACTCACCGTATGTTTCGTGCATTAAATTATCTGTTCCATAGAAAACAGAGTGTGTTTTCGACAAGACTCACCGTATGTTTAGTGCATTAAATTATCTGTTCCATAGAAAACAGAGTATGTTTTTAACAAGACTCAACGTATGTTTAGTGCATTAAATTATCTGTTCCATAGCAAACAGAGTGTGTTTTCAACAAGACTCACCGTATGTTTAGTGCATTAAATTATCTGTTCCATAGAAAACAGAGTATGTTTTCAACAAGACTCACCGTATCTTTAGTGCATTAAATTATGTGTTCCATAGCAAATAGAGTGTGTTTTCAACAAGACTCACCGTATGTTTAGTGCATTAAATTATCTGTTCCATAGCAAATAGAGTGTGTTTTCAACAAGACTCACCGTATGTTTAGTGCATTAAATTATCTGTTCCATAGAAAACAGAGTATGTTTTCGACAAGACTCACCGTATGTTTAGTGCATTAAATTATCTGGTTCATAGAAAACAGAGTATGTTTTCGACAAGACTCACCGTATGTTTAGTGCATTAAATTATCTGTTCCATAGAAAACAGAGTATGTTTTCGACAAGACTCACCGTATGTTTAGTGCATTAAATTATCTGGTTCATAGAAAACAGAGTATGTTTTCGACAAGACTCACCGTATGTTTAGTGCATTAAATTATCTGTTCCATAGAAAACAGAGTATGTTTTCGACAAGACTCACCGTATGTTTAGTGCATTAAATTATCTGTTCCATAGAAAACAGAGTATGTTTTCGACAAGACTCACCGTATGTTTAGTGCATGTGTTTTGACTCAGCGCTTACACCGCTACGAGAATACGAGTACATAGTTTGTAGTAAATGTTTAGTCAATAGCAATACCAATTCGATGTGCTTTGATCAATCCATTAAAGCACATTGAATTGGTATGTATTCATACATATGTAAGTGCTAAGTTCCTACAGTTGCATTCGCAGAATATGATTGAACTTCATAACATTCCTACAAGCGAAATTGACGTCGCATTAGAAACTTGAGAGACACATTACTCAGAACACGTCGACTTCTAGTTATAGTATTTAATCATTCACGAATTATATAGGGCAAGTTTCATCGTTTTTGTTTATAAATTTATTTCACAACTAAGTTCTGACTTATAATGCCTACAAGTCGACTTTGCTGTATATACATATATTAATGTCAAAGTTAAGTTTAATACCGGGCTGAAAGCTCCGGAAGCAAAGTTCACTTTGTTTATTCTGGTGGAATATGGGTCGTTTTAAATAGATGTTGGTGCAGTTGTACTGTTTCTCCAGTAATTTTCATTTGAGATCTCCATTTTAGTCACAATGAAATCCCTTCGTATGAATTGCTAACTCCTTGAGTTACATAATACTCGTAATTTATGAACAAATGGCTTACCTATTGAAATAATTATGCTTGAGTCACACTAAAAATAATCGCTTTCATTCCGTACCGAAATAAAAAGTGAAAATGAGTTCCACCACCTCTCTTTATTTCACAAAATCTCGTTACCAAATCTTTTAGACCGGTTAGAACGAATCATGGAGCTAATAAAGCTACCCAGAAGTTCTTTTATCAACCCGATCATCTGATCAACTAAAAGATATAAATTTAAATAAAGTTTTGTTTCAATACTATTAGAAGTAGTGAAAACTGTCGTGCAACGTTTGACCCAACAAAACTCGAAAAATATATTTTGAAAAGACAGCTTCTTGAAAAAAATAACCGAGTGACACAAGGGCGTGATGAGTCGACAAGTCAATATTTAGTAAAACGTGATATTGTCAAAATATAGAGGATCAGTTTGCGACGAATGACGACCGATAACAAACAATAGGGAACAATGTAAATACTACAAGAGTTATGAGACGATCGTACTTATTGGTTTGAAGCAGGCGTATTTGAACCTTCTAATTGTTACTGATCCTACTTTGACGGTACTTACATTTGTACTTATAGAGATGGAGATGGAGATCTTTGTAGTTATAGCTCGAACAATGAGACGGTATATGTTTGTGTGTTAAGCCAATAAACAATAAATTGTAACTGAAATCTAACATAATGACTTTGATTAATTTAATTAACGAGGATTCGCTGAAACAATAGGTAATGTTAGCTATGTATTTATCCTGTTAGTTATATTGTAACGAGGACTCATAATCATTCAAATTATTCGAATATATATGTAGGACGCTAACATCAATCAAAGTTATAAGATGTTTTCAGGTCATGTTCTTTTGCATGCTCGTCACAATAACAGTATCTGCTTTGAGTATATGTAAAGTATATGTGAACCTTCCAATATAAAAAACACATACACTTCATGCCTATATAAGGAAAAGTAATAATAAATACCCACATTGAAGTCTATTATTGCCGACAGACGGGTTTTTGGAATTAGATAGGTATTCCCATCTAATTCAAGAATAAAATAATTCGGAATTCGTGGAACTGATGGGAAGGCAATGGTAGGAAAAGGATGGATTGAGGAGTGTAAGCACGAGTCAGCGTCGCAGACCTGTCTGAGCTCTCTAAACGGAAAAATTTTTTTTCAATTTAGAAACGACAAATCAGATAGGCACAAGATGGAGTGAAGAACAACATAGGTGGTCATTATATATTCACCCGCTTTGCTAAGTTAAGTGAATTTATTATATTTATAACTCCTCTATTTTTTTTTCTGATTAATTTCGTTGCAGGTTTCAAGACAGTTTATTTTATTCCTGGGTCATAACTAGGTATCACTGCTGTTGTTCCTAGTGTACAGGAGTTACAGTAGTAGGTGAGTCGGAGAGATTAGTCGATTTGGAGACACAGACCTTTAAAACGGGAGGCTCTTCATTGCTTTTATGTTTGTTATGTTCATATAAAAAAAAAACATTCTAAAATTTTTAGTTGTTTTTTTTAATCGATATCATATCTTTAAATTCAATTCGTTCAAAGTGTTTACATCAAATATCTCTTCAAAGTCAAAAGCGAAATCACTTATGACTTTTAACAACATGTTTTAAACGAAATCTCTTCTTTTTCCTTGCTTGCGCTTTGAGATCCAGCTTCTGATATATTACAAAAGTTTGCAACTGGTGAAGAATGTATTTGCGAATATCTATATATATACAAACGGAGAGTGAATTGTTTGTGCGCATTTTTAAGAAAATACGTACAGACGGAAATGTGAAGTTAGGAATACTAAAAGTTTAAATGTAGAAGAAGCGCATAAAACTGATCTTCTTCTAATACTGTGTGCTCTTCCAATGCTGTGTGCTCTTCCAATGCTGTGTGCTCTTCCAATACTGTGTGCTCTTCCAATGCTGTGTGCTCTTCCAATGCTGTGTGCTCTTCCAATGCTGTGTGCTCTTCCAATGCTGTGTGCTCTTCCAATGCTGTGTGCTCATCCAATGCTGTGTGCTCTTCCAATGCTGTGTGCTCTTCCAATGCTCTGTGCTCTTCCAATGCTGTGTGCTCTTCCAATGCTGTGTGCTCTTCCAATGCTGTGTGCTCTTCCAATGCTATGTGCTCTTCCAATGCTGTGTGCTCTTCCAATACTGTGTGCTCTTCCAATGCTGTGTGCTCATCCAATACTGTGTGCTCTTCCATTGCTGTGTGCTCATCCAATACTGTGTGCTCTTCCAATGCTGTGTGCTCATCCAATACTGTGTGCTCTTCCAATGCTGTGTGCTCATCCAATACTGTGTGCTCATCCAATACTGTGTGCTCTTCCAATACTGGGTGCTCTTTCAATATACAATATTTAAGATAAGCATCGTCATTCATTTTCCCGCCCTTTTCCCAATTTTACTCACAGGCTTCGTTATGTGTAATATCTCAAAGGGTTTTGGATGGTTTCCTTTATGGCCGACCAACTGCTTGACGCCAGGCCGAGGTGGGAAAAACAAAGAAAATAAATAAATTAGAGTAACGAACGGATATTGCAGGGGAGCTTCGGTGATATATATTGGTAACCTCGGGTAAGAAAGAGAAACTGAGACGGTAGAAGCTCGAGGGGAGTAGAGGTCGGGGTCGGCACACCCATACTATAACAGGGATATCAAAGACGATAACGATAAGGATTAAAACGGTCAAAATTCAACCTTCAGGCGATTTCTGGTATGTATTACTTGTATCAGATAATTTATTAATCTAAAGTAATAAAACGTACACGCGGTCTACATATTAACATCAATAAAATATTTAATTTTCAATTTATGATATTTCACTTGAATTGAAACATACAAATAAAATTTAATCTCGTGTAAATTAATAAGTTCTAGGAATCCTGCAATCTAAACGTATTATGCATGTACGAAACATGGTGTGTCTGAAATAAATTGAAGGGTCGCTGCAAAAGAAATACCTTTTATGAAGCATAATAATGTGAACAGTTTAATATATTGTGCAGTATATATGTATATATTTGTATGTTTAATATAAACGCAGTCTCTTGCGAATTAATATCTGTAGTCTGACGAAGAACTAAGTAAGTGTATAATGGAAATTTTTCTTTTACTTCATTGCTACAGATTTATTACTAAGGAAAACTTAATGTTAATGTTATCTTATACCACCACACCCTGCTTTACTGTTTGAATATAAATAAGTAGACAACTATGATCCTAGGAGTCATGTGACATTAAAATAAATTTCACTATTATGTGAAATTTATTTTAATGTCACATGACTGTTACACAACCTTATTAGTTTGTGTAACAGCGTCATTATAATCTTTCCTGCTTTTCCCCATTATATTTGAGGTCGGCGTCATGGGTCACGTTGCACTTTGTGGAACTGTTTTCAGACAGGAGCAAGAAAGAAATAAAATTAGGGTAGGGAAAAAGAATAAAGCAAAGAAGTTTGTTGATGGTCGTGTAAAATAAACATGGGATCGGGTTTCCATTTGCTTATTTGAATTGCTTAATTCAGTTTAACTAATGTTAATAGTATAGAGTGAAAGACTCACCACTATCGCGGTGTCTGAATCAAGGCCTACAGATCTGCTACTCACTTATAATTTTGACGGTGCCTGCTTTACACAATTACCTTGGCGAATTCTCTGATAATGTCAGGCCAGCGTCCCAACCAGTTCCAAAGTAGATCTATCACTTATATTAGATTTTTCATACGACCAAAGTTTGGTCAACGTAGCATAAGGCATGCTACGATGATCACACTCACTGAACAGATCGTATGAAAAATCTAATATAAGTGATAAATCTACTTTGGAAATGGTCAGACTCACCAACTCAGAATGATAATATTATAGAGATATTGCCCTTAAGAGTGGAGCACGATCTATAAATAATATAATATACCTCACACATCTCACACACGGCCATCTGATCACAAACTAGGCAGATATAAATGTCCAATATCTCATAGGTAAATAGACGCATTCATTTATTCTGAATAAATTTAAACATAATCTATAGTACTATATAGGTATTAAAATGATTCTACAATATTTTTAATGATTCCATAGATTTGAAACCATAGTTTCAAGTTACGAACTATTGCTAAGGAAGATTTAGCTAGAACACAAGACAGATTGACTAATGTAATAAGAGTCGAGTCCAGGACACATTTTGGTTAATCTTATTCAGTGTCCAGTTCCAACGTCACGTGTAATTATCGATGGTAATACATTATCGTTATCTGAAGCGACATAATTGAGCGGCAGGCTTGTCGGACGGTGTTTGGGCACAATTTACCTGTTGATCAATGTTGACTTTTACCGTACTTGCTATTATATGTATAACATTTTAGTCCTTTGAGTGTTACTTTACAACCCGTCTGGCCAGCGTGGTATAGTAGGCCAAAACCTCCTTTCTAAGGAGAGGCTTATGTCCAGCAGTGGACTATTAAAGGCTGTTGATGATGATGATGATGAGTGTTACTTTGGAAGTTGACAAGTATCCTTCTTGAGAGATAACTTCATGCCTGAAACTAGTCGTTAAAATTATTATTTTTTAATTATATTTTATTTTATTAAATTATATTTTTATTCGACTTTCTTGTCCCGATTTTCATTATTCTTTTCTTCCATTTGAAAATCATTAGATCCCCAAGAAGGAATCGCGTCAAACAGGAGCCGGTTACAATATACACACGCTAAAACTACTTCGCCAAAAAAAAATACTTATTGCACCGACTCCAAATAAAATTGGAAAAAAGCAGTAAATAAATATGATGATAATAGTTCCATAATTCATATTTGAATATATATTTATGATGAATTCATGCCGTGTTTCATAAAATTATTATTTTAGTAGTGTTCTCCGAATAACACGTTCCGGTTCATTGAGCAGAGGTGAAGCCGCAGGGCGAGCCCCTAGTTGCTATTAAACAATAATATACCAATGGAACAAACAACTTCTGTATAATTTGTGTTTACTTAGCTTTCTTACCACTAGCCACTTTCTTATCTAAAATATCAACAAAAGCTGTATTACTCGTTAACTAATATAACATAATAACTTGTAGCAATAAAGCGAAATATTGTCTGAAATTTCTGTCAGTAAACGTCGAATTTCGATTGCTTGTAATATTATTATGTTGGCGGGAATTAACGTGATCACGTACTAAATTGTCATAGACATGCCCAATGTCAAGGAAACTGAAAGTTTAACATTTATAAAAGACTCTTCGGTTGCTCTTGTTAAACTGAATTTCTGGAGTACTAAAAGTGTTACGTATAAAAGGCTATGAACGGTACGTTTTATGGGAACCAAGCTGCAAAATTCATATTTTTAATATACGTTGCCACACTCAATGCACTCACGAGACAACAGAAGAGTAGAGGCCAAGTCGGTTAAAAAGAGAACCGAAATTCCATCGTACGTGCCACGGAACATTTAATCTCAATTTTCGTTTAAGTTTTTACAGTTTCGTCAACAAAATTGTTATCAGATCGAACTTAAGCGTACTTCGATGCCTAGAATGAAACTGTATATACACATACTCATATACAGGTTACACAGATATATCGCGCTATTTGCTTAGCAACTGAAAAGCTTTAGTGTTATTCTTTAGAAAAAGGTCCTGACAGTCATACCAAATCATATTCAACAGATAAACGTAACTATTTTCAAATCTACTTACAAATAAATTGAACAAGGTTTTCATTGTAACATGTCTGAACTTGACGCTCACTTCTAATCCGTTTATTTACCGACGAAGAACTTTTTTTTAAAGTGATACTTTAAAGACATAGCCTTAAATGTTTTTCGTCGCTCTATCGCATGTCGCATTACAGCCAAAGCCAATAAGGCGGCGCTCGTATCAGCTGACCTGTAGCATTTATATACTCACGTATTCGTGCAAATGCTTAGCGGTATTTGTGTGTTTTAATCAGTGTATTGATGTAAATGTTGTTGTTCACTTTAACACCCTAAATGGAATAACTTACCGAAAACTTTGAGTTAAATGCCAAGATCCGAAAGACACATTCACTCGCATCGTGGTTTCATAAACCACATCACACTTTTTTGTTATAGGGGGCTATTGAGCAGACGAGTTACCTGATGGCATGGATGGTATTTATGTATATTTATGTATGTATATGTGTGTAGGTATGTGTTAGTTGAAACTATATATATAATAATAATATATCTCACACATCTCACACACGGCCGTCTGATCCCAAACTAGGTAGAGCCTGTGCTATGGTAACCAGACTGCTGATAAACATACTTATATATTTTTAAATACATACATATTATAGATAAATTACACTCAGACACAGAACAAATGACCGTGCTCATCACACAATATTTGTCTTGGGTGGGAATCGAACCCACGACCTCTGTCTTAGCAGTCAGGGTCACTAACCCTAGACCAACAGACCGTGTATACGCTACTATTACAACTGTAACCTCAGTGCACCAGATTTCTACACCACCCAAAGGTTGGCTGGTACATAATGCCTTGGGCATTAATTCCGACCGATGTACACAAGTGCATAAAGTTGTAAAATAAAAAATAAAAAAAAATGGCAAGTAAATACTGGCAGGATCCATGGACACACCTAAAACTCAAGTGTCTTGCCGGTCAGTAAGTGCCTGCTAGAATTGGGAGAAGGGGGGGGGGGGACCAACAAGAAGAGATCAAGAAAAAAATTGCTTAGCATCGGTTTTGACGCACATTATGGGGAAATTCCTTTATGAAGTCTCATTAATTATTTTTTTTAGGAATACAATTTTACAAACATACATGAAATAGACACAAAACACACCCAGACTCAGAGCAACAGTTTGTGGATTACATTTTATTTATTTTATTTTTTTATTTATTGCCTTTAAAAACAACTATTATTACAGGTTTAGCCCAATGCAATAGTGTTATACCATCTACTTATTTATTATAAGAAATAATTCTTAACGCTGTTATTGTTACATAAAGTGTCGTCCCATGTGGGGATCGAAAACACAACACTGTGACCGCTTTATCCACTACGCCATCCGTGCAGTCATCTTCAACTCACTTCAAATCACTTAGTAATCTTTTGTAGGAACAGCTCATCGCTATGCCATTAAAACATTGATTTGCATATTCTACATAAATAATGGGTTGCTAATGTTCTAAGCCCAAACTTTTGTTTATTATTAAACTCATTAATATTAACAAGATATACAATGGACTTTAAAGATTTTACAATAGCGAGTGTTCCTCGGCAACCAAATTTTTTTTAAATTAACCTAATTGATAAAATCTCCATCCATCTAACGGTAAGCTAGATTAAAGTCCAAAAAAAGAGGGTCTCCTTTTTACGAGTATGAGAG